AAAAACACCGGCCATGGCAAACCTGGTTTAAAGATTCTGGCCAATTCGAAGACTCCGGGGCCCTACCACCAACCGGGCCCCCTTACCCGGGGTCCTGGCCATACCCGCTCCTCCTCCTCCTCCTCCTTTCTCCTCCACACCTCCTCTCCTCCCCCTCCTCTTCCCCGGGGGCCCACTGGCAGATATGGTTGCAACCGGCTGAGCGGATTGCGGCCCCACCTCGCGAGCCCCGATTCTCTCGGCGGGCGCCCTCTGCCCCGAGGTATGAGCGAGGCGTGTGCTGGAGGATGAGGAGGATGACCTCCTCCTCCTCCCGCTTCTCATCCGCCTCTGAGGAGGAGACATTCTCCTCCACCCACTTCCTCCCTCCCCCCTCCGCGTACCACACGGCGCGAGGAAGTAGGAGCTCGTTCCTTCCTCTTCGCGGTCACGCCTGCTTTCGGGACCGCGCGCCCGCCTGCCACCCCCCCAGTACCGGCTGGGCATGGCTAGGGATAGCTAGATCAAAGGCTGCGCCCGCGCAAATCGTAACGCTACGGGCCCCCATCGCCCCCATCCCCTCCCCCCCAAAGGTGACGCCTGTTATCGCCAGGGGATAAGCAAATTCCCTATGGGTAGGTAGGGGCGTTTTTAGGTGACCAGGAGGTCAGAAACTGGTCAACGCAACGCCTCGCCTTCGAATGAAAAGGCCCACCCTGCAAGGATCGTCAAGAACATGTTGTTGAGAGGCGTGCTGCCCGCCGCATCCCACCCCAGAGGACAGGCCCTGCCCTGGAGCAGTAGCCCCAGGAAGCGCTTAAGGACCCCCCTGGGGTTAACCGTAGCACCTCACCGGTATCAATAAATTCCAGGGGGAGATTTTCGCCGAACGAGAACTTTAGCAACACACCAAGCCGCAACTAATAAATGATTCCCCTCCCTCCCCTCGACCATCATCCATAGTCCTGCTCCTTCCTGGCGGCCATTGCGCTCTCTACCCCTCCCCCCCGTCCCTCCCCTCCTGCTGACCACGGATGCTGGGATGACGCTTCCAGATTCGGGAAGCTTTCTCCTCTTGCCGAGAGGGGAATGGGGGGCAGCGGGAGGGGTTCTTAATCGCTTCCTGCGGTTAGCCAGACAAGCCGGGTTTGCACCCTCCTGTGTTGCTGCGCCCGGGGGCGCGTTTTGGCACCCTCTCCCCCGACCTCGTCAGGGCCACCAACAAGAGAAAGGGCACGTCCATTCACCGCCTCGACGTTTTCGACGCGTGGGCCCTTGGATTAAATCGGGCATGTCCTCCTACAGGCAGATGTTGGACGAAACCTTAAGAATAATCACATCAAACAATATGGTCAAGAATAGTCCACCAAAAATCGTCCCATACTATTGACTGTTTTCGAATGTTCCTCCTGAGGAAGGACGTGCCCGACTTGACCGGCTACACGTAAGAGTGACCCTGGGTAACAGTGACCTTTGGTGCGCGGCTTTTTGGGAGGCCGCGGGGAAGCCACGCACAAGCGCGCAAGACGCCACTGCCACCTCGCGTTCGGCGATCAGGGACCCCAATGGGCCCGCACCACATGCCAGAAATTATTCCGAGCACCCAGGAAAGTGTCGAAAGAGTGTCGAACGAGTGCCGAAGCAATGTCGAAACAGTGCCTCCCAGCGCCCGCCACGTGAAAGCCCTCGAGCTCCGATGTTTTTTTGGTGCTTGGAGGTCCAAGGCGAACAAAGGTGGGAACATCATCAGTGCAGTCGACTTCTAAAACGACGCGAAGATCGGGACAGAATCGGATCGGGACAATTCGAAATCTCTGAGAATCGGCGGGTTCGGAGGATGTGTTGGGCGCCGCGGCCGCTCCAGAGCGTTCCGGAACGCTCCGAGAGCGCTCCGGAACGCTCTGGGGCGATTTATCCCGATCCTGGCCTTGTTTTACCAACGGAAGTTGCAGGGGGGAAGGAGGTGGAGGACGAGGAGGAGGACGAAGAGGACGAGGAGGAAGAGGGCCCCCTCCCCCTCCTACTGATCCTGGCCCTGTCTTAACTTAGTCCTTGGACCTCTCGACCACTGCCCCCCGGGGCCGCCTCCGCATCACGAGCTCCCCTGTCTGCCGGCCCGAGGCCCGCAGCCGGCCTCCATGGAGGCAGGCGAGCAGACCGACCGCCCGGCCGCCTCGCTGCTGTCGGAGCGTCGGAAGGCACGGGGGCCCCGGGGCACACAAAGGAATCGGCGCGCATCACAGGATGCCCCATCTTTCCAAGTAGTTGCTGGGCTGTCGTCTTCTCTCCCCCCCCACTTCCCGTAGTTTCCCATATTTTCTGGGGGGTCGACGGTTCATTCTGTCGGCGCGTTCTGTTCCCATCCTGACGGATGTCTGGGCAGATGCCCCATATTTCCAAATGTTTGCTGGGCTGTTGTCTTCTCCCCCCCCCACTTCCCATAGTTCCCCATATCTTCAGGGGAATCGACGGCTAATTCTGTCTGCGTGTTTTGTTCCCATCCTGACGAGGATCGAGGATCGAGGATCGAGGGAGCCCTGGGCAAGAGGAGGAGGGACGAGGATCTAGGATCGAATCTAGGATCGACGGTCGGAGGAACGGGGAGCGGCGACCGCAAGACCTGCGAGACCAGGGGGACAGCGGGTGGAGCAGGAACCGACCAGCCTGGCAATCTGGCGAGGGAGCCAACGCGAATCCAGTCTGGCGAATAACCCAAATCATCCAGTTTGGCCGGGCCAGATTGGCCCTGGGGGCCCAATCCAATCTGACAGTCTGGCCTTCGACTACCCAGCCTTCGGGCATACCACGGCATGCTCTCAGAACAGAAGAGAACTCAAAAAACAAGAGCACGGCTCTTCTAGCAGACTGCCGCTTGCTCGAAACGAGACTGTCTCAGCCAGAACTGCTCTACGAACCTTTCGTGCAAACCACAACAAATAGATTTGATCATTCTTTGGTTGGCCTATAGACACTTCAGGCCGCTGCGCGACTGCTTGAGTGAAAGAACGGCACACACTCCCCTCGAGAATATACTGACACGGTTCAATCCAGACCCAGGTCAGTCAGGCCTTGCAGGATCCTGCGCCCAAGCCTGGGTCAGTGCACCCCTGGTCCTGCAAGATCCTGCGCAATCCGGCGCTCTGGCTGACCCCCGCTTGCATTGATCCCGCCTCTTGATCCCCGACCCCAGCGCCGGACAGCGCCCGCGGCGCCGCTGGCGAGCGCGGCGACGGCGGCGGCGGCACGTCAACGGCGGCTGGTGGGCCTGTTTTCCGCCACCACCACCACCATCAGTAGGAGGGGGAGGGGGCCCTCTTCCTCCTCGTCCTCCTCGTCCTCCTCCTCGTCCTCAAGCCCCCCCCCCCTCCAACTTCTGCTGGTGGTGGTGGACAACGGGCCCCTGAGCGGCGACGGCGCGACGGTCATGTCGACGCTGGCCCGCGAAAAGCCCCAACGCAGCGCGCAACCCCCTTTTCTCCCCGCGTAGCCTGCCGCGGGGTGCGCTCGGGGGCCGCGCGTCGCCTCGCCCCGTGACGCACGATCCGCCCCTCGTCGCTGCTATCCCCACGACGGTCCTGCCGGCGGCGACCTCCGTGGCGGCCCGGGCGGCGCGACGGCGGCGCCGCGCCCACGCCAGGCGGCGGCGGGTCGACGAATGGCTGCGCCGGGTGCCCCGCGCGGCGGCGGCCGCGGCACCGGCCCGCCTCGAGAGGCGCCTCCGCGCTGGTGGCCTGGGCGGTGGCGGCCTGGCGGTGCCAGGAGGCGTCCTCGCCCTTCCCTCCCTCGTCGCCCTCCCTCATCGTCCCCACCCCTCTCGCCCCGCCTAACGATGCCGCCCCTGAGGGGGGGCTCCCCGAACATTCTCCCCGAGTTTCCTCCTCCCCGACCCCCATCCTTCCCCTCCACTCCCCCCCAGACCGCCTGCCCCCGCGCGCGCGACGGGTCCCCGCCGCGCTGTCCGCGCCCCGCGCATCACGGTCATCGTCGTCGGCATCGTCATCGTCCTGCTCGTGTGCCTTGAGGGCCACCTGTCACCACAAGGCGCTCAGGGTGATGACTCCAAGCCACCGGGCAGCAGCGAAACCGGTCAAACAAAACTTCACCTGCACTGGATTGCCGTCAATGTGCAGTTCGTACCCCCCTGGACCTCCCGGGACGAGTTACTTGCTCATTGATTGTCACGACCCCCTGGGACCCCTTGGGGACCCTTCAAGGACCTCCGAATTCGCAACACGTCTGGAGCGAGAAACTTCACCTGGGGACCCGAGGGGGATGTTGTTCCGAATTTAATGTCCCGAGCCCATGGGGGGTCGACCCCGCGGAGGGGGACCCCCAGGCAGTCAATTCAGAATGAAGTGTAGAGGAAATGTCAATTGATTAGACTCAGGTGTGCGCTGATGGGTTCTCTGCGTGTTGGTTGTGGGATGCCAAGAAGCCTGGGGCCTAGAAGCTTCCGTTTTTGTGATGATGTGGGCCAGCCACCCTATTCCCTCCCCGTGCTCGCGTGCTCGTTTCTCCTCCGCCGCCCCGCCCCTTGCTCCCGTTTCCGCACGTGCTCCCTCCTCCCTGCTCCTCCCCGGTCCCCTCTCCTCATCCTCCCCCCCCCTCCCTACTCCATCCCCATTGGACCTGATCCTTCCCCATTCACAACCTCTATTATCTTTACTGTTTGCTCCTCCCCCTCCTCCTCCTCCTCCTCCTCCTCCTCCTCCTCCTCCTCCTCCTCCTCCTCCTACCTCCTCGTCGCCATCTCCCTCCTCCGACCCCTCCTCCTCCTCCTCCTCCTCCTCCTCGTCACCATCATAATCGTGATCAGTATCCTCATCCTGCTCCTCAAAACCCACTTCCTCTTCCGTTCCTTATGAGATTGTCCCAGCTGCCAGACCGCCAGACACGTCGCTAGGGCGGGCGAGGCGCTTCGGCTGTGAGGCTCTCACCGCTTACGCTTACGGCGTTGAAGCCGAGAAACCACTGATACTGATAGAGGGCGGGCCGTCTTCAAAATCGGATCCTCCCCTGGGCGTCACCCAATTCCGTTTTAGCACACTCAGCATCTGCACAGATGGAAGACCGCCCGTTTTCGAACCGTGGCTCGCGCGTTGGCGCCGCGCGCATGAACAAACTTCACAGGTGGATTGTGGGTCTTTGCCAAATGCTGATGTCCTCAGGCACGTCCCAAACGTGTCACACCAGAACTGGTATAATGTGCGCTTGAGCGGACGGCACGCGGCTCCCTTTCAGCATTGGGTTCCCGCTCAAGCATTCGTTCGATTCCACTGCCAGGAGGATCGAACTGACGATGCAGTAACAAAGCGGATAGAAGGCGATTCATTTTCAAAGCGGAGCTTTCTCTGCACTTCCTTTACGAGTGAGCTCCTCTTCCTCTACGCTTTCAACACGAACCCGCTGGAGGCCTTTCTACGTGTATAACCCAAGATTGCCGCACAGTTTAGAAAGAACATGGGAGACAGCTCTTTCCATAACGGAATTCACGCTGCATTTGCAGGCCACTGGGATGTTCGTCGTTCAAGGGAGCGCGTCACGCTATGGAAAAAACTGCTTGGGGTGAGTCGTGAGGAGAGGACTTGGGGCGGGAAGGCGTGATGCAGCACCATTGATACATTGTCGGGTTTACTATTCTGCTCTTCCTCCTCCTCCACTTCATTCTCGGTCTCCCCCTCCTCCTCCTCCACCTCCTCCTCCACCGCACAATCCTCGCCCTCTTTTCCTGTTGCTCCTCCTCCTCCTCCTCCTCCTCATCATCATCCTCATCCTCTTGATCCTTCTGATCCTCTTGCGCGTTGTCCTCCTCCCCCTCCCCCCCTCTTTCTCCCTCGTCCCATGCTCCCTCGCCCGCCTCCTCGTCGTCACCCCTTCTCCTCCATGTGCTTCCTCCCCCCCCCCGCGCGACGGGGTCCTAGGCGGAGGTAACGCGTGCCGAGGCACGGTCCGCTCGCTCTCCGACGCTTGCCGGCACGCTCAGGGCAGCCCCGCAGACCGCCGCATCGGGTATGACCAGGAAGCCCTCCTCCTCCTCGCCCCCCTCCCTCCACCCCCCCTCCCCCCTCCTTCCCCTCCCCGCTCCCTCTCCTGCTACTCCGCCTCCCCGTGACCCCACAGGCTCCCGCAAGGGTTTGGACACCCGAAATGGGTACCGAACGAATGGGTGCAATGCCCAACAACAAATGTTGTCCCAGGCCAACAGCGGCCGCTGTTGGGCAGGCGAGCCTTCTGCCTCGAATGGACACAGGCCGCGGCGGCGTGGACGGCGAATCCTGCTCAGAATGGACAGGAACTGCTGTTGTCGGGTCGGGCGAAAGGGGGGGATAGCAAAGGGGGGGTTTGAGAATCAGCTCACGTAGCTGATTTTCCCGGCGCCTCCCGGCGCCGGAGGCGGCCATGTATCGAGGAATGGGCCCCTCGGTGAGGCCGAAATCAGCTGCATGCAGCAAATTTCGTAACCCCCCCTTTCCCAATCCCCCCCTTTCGCCCGACCCGATGTTGGGCATCGTACCCATTCTTTCCGTGCCCATCTCGGGCGTCCAGAAAGGGGGCCTGCCACGCCGCGTGCGCGGCCCCGGGGTGGAACTCCACGACCTGCGCCGCTCCCCCCCGGCGACGCGGCGCGCCGGGCGGCCGGCAGCCCGAGCACGCCGCGGGGCCGCGGGCCGCGGAGCAGAGCAGGGGAGGCCGTCGGAGCGGAGGGCACCGGGGCATACAGACCTCCCAGAAGTCAAACGTCTTCTAACGTCGGCCCTCGCGCGCAACACGGCCCCCGGGGTCAGATGCGCGTAATGTGTGTGTGTGTGTGCTGTGTGCTGTGTGCTGTGTGCTGTGTGCTGTGTGCTGTGTGCTGTGTGTTGTCCGTTGTGTGCTGTGTGCTGTGTGTGTGCGTGTGTGCGTGCGTGCGTGCGTGTGTGCGTGCGTGCGTGCGTGCGTGCGTGTGGTGTGTGGTGTGTGGTGTGTGGTGTGTGGTGTGTGGTGTGTGGTGTGTGGTGTGTGGTGTGTGGTGTGTGGTGTGTGGTGTGTGGTGTGTGTGTTTGTGTGTGTTTGTGTTTGTGTGTGTCTGTGTGTGCGCTTGCAGTCACCAATGCCGGCCCGAACGTTGGAATCGGAGGGCCACGGGACGCCGCCACGTCGCGGTGAGAACGTGCGCTTGACTTCGAGGAGGGACCAGGGGCGTGCCCTCAGATGCTGGCGGGGCACTCTTTCCGCAGTGCGCGCTCGGGCTCGGGCCTCGGGACCCTCGCAGACCGCCTCGGCTCGAGGGCGTGGCGCAGGCGGATGGGGTGCGGGGCCCCCTGCAGTACTGCCTGCTGTGATGCGACGTCAGACCTCAGATAGGGGAACAAAACGTGGCATAAACATACAAACTCGGAGGTCCGCGCGGATCTCTCGGATCGGCGCTGGGGCCCCCCAGCGGCGCCTCCGGCGCCGCTCCTGGCGCGCTCCGCGCGCCAGGGAGGGGGGTCCAGCGCCGATCCGAGAAGTCCGCGCGGACCTCCGGGTTCTTATGTTTATGCCACTCCTTGTTCCCCTATCATAGCATGCCGTCCAATGGTCGATGACTCGGCCAAGCAGCGCGATCCTCCGACCCCATCTGCTCCGTCTCCAGTCTGGGTGGCATGGAGAAGAGCTGGGGCTCCCCCCGGAACCTCTTAACGACAAAGGTGCTGCTATGCGCACGAGCGCGCGCGACAGTAGGGCCACCGCGCGAAAGTTCTCAATATGAGAGTGAGCGAGCCCGGCGGGCTTACGCTGTCCCACTGAACTCAACGCTGCCCCTGAGTGCGTGGCGGAAGTGGGGATCCTCCCTGCGGATTGCTTCCTCGTTGTTGGGTTGTGCTGTGCTGTATTGTGTTGTGTTGATGTGGTGCTGTTTTGTTGTACCACGCCCGCGACCCTCCCTGGGTAGTCGAAGTCAATCTGGCGCCAATCTGGCAGGCCCAATCTGGCAGACGGGGGCAATCTGGCGAGGGAGCCAACGCGAATCCAGTCTGGCGAACAACCCAAATCATCCAGGTTGGCCGGGCCAGATTGGCCCTTGGGGCCCAATCCAATCTGACAGTCCGGCCTTCGACTACCCTCACTCTTGCAACTGCGCGGGCTCTGGTGTGCGACATGCCGCCTGGAGCATGCCTCTGCAAGCGAATCATTGTAGGCAGCTGGGCCGCCCCGTGGCCCCTAGGGAGACCAAGGCTGTTGGGCATTCGTTATGCCCCTGTCGGCTACGCGGCACCATCACCATCACCCTCAGCAGCTCAGTATCATCAGCCTCACCACCACCACCACGATCATCACCATCACCATCACATCATCATCATCATCATCATCATCATCATCATCATCATCATCATCATCATCATCATCATCATCATCATCATCATCATCAGCATTACCAGCATCATCATCATTAGCATCATCAGCATCATCATCAGCATCATCCTTCCCATCATCCTCATCATCATCATCATCATCATCATCGTCATCCTCATCATCCTCGTCATCATCCTCACCATCCTCATCATCATCATCGTCATCACCACCACCCGAGATATCAGCATCATGCACATCTTACTCATAGCCATGATCACAATAATCAGCAGCATCGTCAGCCTCATCATCATCGGCAGCTGTAGCAGCATCATCGTCAGCATGATCATAACCACCACCACCACCATCAGCATCATCATCATCATCAGCATCAGCATCATCACCAGCATCATCACCAGCATCAGCATCAGCATCAGCATCAGCATCATCATAACCGCCATCATCATCCACATCATCAGCATCATCATCACCAGTATCATAATCATCATCACCAGCATCATCATCAGTATCACCATTCTCGTGGTCCAAGCATCGTCGTCATCATCATCAGCTGCGTCATCAGCAACAACACCAACATCAACAACATCGTCAACATCATCATCACCATCGTCGCCCCCGTCGTCCACGGCATCGGGATCGGCATCGTCATCGTCATCATCGCCATCCTCATAGTCATCAACGTCTTCCCAATCGACACTACCATGCTGAGCATCATCGTCAACCTCATCACAGCCACCATCATCACCATCATCATCATCATCATCACCACCAGCATCATCATCATCATCATCGTCGTCGTCTTTATCATCAAAAACATCCAAGGCTCCAATGGCGCGTATGGCTAAACATCAGCGTCCAACATCATCTTCATCATCATTACCATCATCATCATCATCATCATCATCATCATCATCGTCATCATCATCATCATCATCATCATCACATCATCATCGTCGTCGTTACCGTCATCATTAGCATACGCATAGTCGTCAGAAACACATGTTTCAACGCTCTGGTCGTCATCGTCACGATCATCACAAGCAGCATCATCATCATCCTCCTCCTCATCATCCTCAGCATCATCATCAAACGAGCATCACCCGCATCAAAACAATCGCAACCTAGGCTACATTAGCGTTATCCAATCACCATCATCATCACCACCATCATCATCACCGTTACCGTCGTCGTCATCATCGCCATCATCCTCATGATCGTCATCATCATAACATCATCATCAGCATCAGCATCATCATCAGCAGCAGCAGCGCCAACAGTATCAGCATCATCCCACCTTGCCCGCCCTTGAATATCGTTTCACCGATCCCCATCCCCAGCGGCGTGGCCTGGGCCCCACTGGCCGCCTTACCCCCCTAGATGGGGATACCGGGGTGGTAACTTGGTGGGGGTCTCGGAGGGGATGGGGATGGGGATGGGGATGGGTTAAACGATACTGGCAGCCGACCACGACAACGCCGGCGACGACGACCACGGCGGCGGGCAGCGGCGACGGCGGCCCCGCGGCGGCGCGGACCGAGCCAGCGGCGGCGCGGGGCAGGGTCGTAGCGTTCATCTCCTGGCGAACGGGCGCGGCCAAGGCGCCGTCGTCGTCGTCGTCGCCGCTGGTCGCCCTCCTCCTCCTCCTCCTCCTCCTCCTCCTCCTCCTCCTCCCTCCTCCTTCTCCTCCTCCTCCTCCTCCTCCTCCTCCTCCTCCTCCCCCCCCTCGGCAGGCCAGCGCGCCACGGGCCCCCCCCCCGTCCTCCGCTCCCCCGGAGGCCAGCTGCACTCGGCCGCGTCGCTGCCGTTATCGCTGTGAGGCAAGTTCGTGTCGGGCGACGTCGTCGGCGAATTTTCTGACGCCGCGTGTGAAGGGGCCCTGGGACACACTAATAAATACACACAAATAAAAGATTCCCCATGTCTTCACATATTTTCTGGGCTTCTGTCTTCCCCCCCCACTTCCCACTGTTTCCCATATTTCCTGCGGAATCGACGATTCATGGTGTCTGTGTGTTTCTTTCCCTCCTGAGCGTGGGTCGTCGCTTCTGTCAACGATCGCGGCTCTCCCTGGGTAGTCGAAGCCAATCTGGCGCCAATCTGGCAGGCCCAATCTGGCAGACGGGGGCAATCTGGCGAGGGAGCCAGCGCGAATCCAGTCTGGCGAATAACCCAGATCCTCCAGCTTGGCCGGGCCAGATTGGCCCTTGGGGCCCCAATCCAATCTGACAGTCCGGCCTTCGACTGCCCAGCCTGAAAGTGGGTCGTCGCTTCTGTCGACAATCGCGGCTCTCCGACAGCGCACCCGGTTCGACGCCAGCCGACTCTGCGCCGCGGGCGGCGCTCCACCTCGAGCGCCAGGGCCGGGGCCGCCGCGGCGTCGCCTCGGCGCGAGCCTGCCATGTCCCGCCGCCGTCGCCGTCGCTTCGCCTCGCCGCCTTCGCCGGGAGGGATCGGGGAAGATCGAAACTCCCCGGCTCCTCCTCCTCCTCCTCCTCCTCCTCCGGCGGTCTTGGCCCTCTCACGGCTTCGTCGTCGTCCCGCTTCCCCGATTCCTCCTCGGCCCCCCTCCTCCTCCTGGTCTGCTGACCCGCCGTCCCGGTCCTTCTCTCCCCCCCAAACGCCCAGAGGGATAGGAGGAGAGAGGAGGAGGAGGAGGAGGAGGAGGAGGAGGAGGAGGAGGAGGAGGAGGAGGAGGAGGGAGGAGGAGGAGGAGGAGGAGGAAGGAAGGAGGGAGGAAGGAGGAAGGAGGAAGGAGGAAGGAGGGAGGAGGAGGAGGAAGGAGGGAGGAGGAAGGAGGAAGGAGGGAGGAGGAGGAAGAGGAGGTGGGGAGGCGGGAGGAAGGACACTTGGGAGTGCGGAGGCAGGGCGAGGGGGCCCCACAAAACCAGTCGACGGCGTCGACGCGGACGACGACGACGACGCTGACGACGGCAGGGCGATCCGACGACCTCGACGACGACGGCCCGACGACGACGACGGCGACGACGACGCCGACGGCGACAGCGACGATGCTGACGACGGCGAGGACGACGACGACGATGATGATGGGGATCAGGATGAGGAGGACGACGACGGCAGTGTGCTCCGACGACCACGACGACGACGGCCCGACGATGACGACGACGGCGACGACGGCGACGACGACGGCGGCGGCGGCGGCGACCGCCGCGGCGGGCGCGCGGCTCCCGCAGGAACGAGCAGGAAACGGCGCCGGGGTGGCTCCTCTGCGGCACCCCGCGCGGCGCCCGCGCGCGGGCGCACACAGGCGGCCCTCTCGGAGGGGCCCTCGCGGCGGCTCTCTCTGGAGGCACGCCGCGAGCCACGGGCCTCTCCTTCTCCTCCGCCTCCTCCTCCGCCTCCTCCTCCTCCTCCTCCTCCGCCTCCGCCTCCTCCTCCTCCTCCTCCTCCTCCTCCTCCTCCTGCTCCTCCGCCTCCGCCTCCGCCTCTGCCTCCTCCTCCTCCTCCCCCCCCCCCCCGGCCCGTCGGCGGCCTGCGCGGCAGCCCTCGCGCGGGGGGAGCCTTCGGCGCAGGCGAGAGGGCACGAGAGGCGACGGCGGGGCCCCCTGCGGTGCGGCAGACACCAGCCGCAGAGAGAGGCAGGCGGGCGTGCACGGCGGGCAGGCAAGAGGCAGCGCCAGCGCGAGAGGCCTCGGAGGGCAATCGAGAGCGTTTGTGTTTCGTGTTGCTCCCTCTGTTTTCCTGCACCTCCCTGCCAGAACGAAAAACCAAACGCAGCCGAAGTCCAGCAAAGCAGCGTCTATAGGTCCAGCCAGTGGTCGAGGGAGGGGCAGCGGGAGCCGGGGGGCACACGGGCGGGCGGGCGGGCAGGCGAGAGGCAGCGCCAGCCCCAGAGGCCTCCGAGTGCAGCCGCGGGAGGAGCAGAGGGAGCAGGTGGGCACAGTGGTGTGGCAATCGTGGGCCGCAGGAATCAGACCCCCAGGAAGCCCCACGAGGCCCCCACGAGGCTTCCAAGCGGCCCCTCAGAGCTTCCCAAGAGGCCCACAAACTACCCCCAAGAGGCCCCCAAGAGCGCTCGTCGTCGTCGTCGTCGTCGTCGCCATTCAGGGTCGGCGGCGCAATCAGGCCTTCGCAATCAGGCAACGCACGGATGAGCAGGCGCCGCCCGCCCGGGAGGTGTCCAGGTGCCGGCGCCGCACCCGTAGCACTCGGTGGACCCCGGCGCAGAACTGCGGGCGGCGGGGGCTGGCACGAGAGATTCGGAGCAGCAGAAGCGCACCCGCTCCCAGCAACTGCGGTGCTGCAACGGGTCGCATTCCATTGCGTGTCGGTCAGAAGAAGCAGGTAGAAGCACAAAGTGGGATGTCGCTTCGAATGGATTGGGTTTCGGCTCGGCCCCGAACAACTCAGGAACAACAACTGAGGCCACTCGATAAGCAGGAATGGGTGGAAGTTGGGCATTTCGTGCAAAGTGGAAGTGACCATGGCTGCGAGGACTGGCCGAGGTTGGAGTACGAAGCCACAGACGGGGCACGGTGGTCAGGGCTGGAGAGACCTCGAAGAAACCAAAGGGAGGGCTGGCCCTAACCACCTTCTTCTGGCATGAAGCCAACGGGTTCTGGGAGAAACGAGTCCATGATCACGAGGATTACCCCACCTCCTCCTCCTCCCCCTCCTCCTCCTCCTTCTCCTGAGGCCTCACCCGAAGACCAGCGTTCCGTCCAGGACCCTTTGTTGAAATCCCGGGCCCGTGGAGGGCGGAGGGCCCCAGGAGGTCACAGACTGTGAGCAGCCTCAGAAACCGTTCCCCCCACATGCCTTTATGGGCGATGTTCCAAGCCTCCCTGTACAGTCGGAGCCCGGCCACGGGAAGCCCTCCACCAGACACCCAACCCCAAGACCCCAGGATGCCCCTTGAGCTCTGGCGTGGGGGAGTCGCGCCTTCCAAGCCAGAAACCATCGAAGCCCAAGACACAAAGGGCAGCCTGGAGGCAAGCAGGGAGGGCGAGGAAGAAAAAGGCTTTCTTTGGAGGGACGCGGGCTTGCAACTGCATGGCTGCCCCGCGCAGAGTTCACGGGGGCAGCATTCGCTGCCGAACCAGGCGGCCCCAGAAGGAGAAGAGGAGGACGAGATTCAATATGTCCCTCAAAACGGTGATCAGAACATTCGTGCCAGTCCAAGAATCAGTTTGGAGAAGAACCGCCTCCACATGAGGATGAATGAACTTGATCCGAGCCTCATCCTACGCAGCGGCCGCGACGGGACCGTCAACTGGTCACTCGGAGGACGCTATCGAGTCGTGGCCTCATTAAGTCTATAAACCGATCACGCCTTGCACACCCTTTCAATTCTAGGGAAAAAGGCTTTCTTTGGAGGGAAGCGGGCTTGCAACGGCATGGCTGCCTCGCGCAGAGTTCACGGGGGCAGCATCCGAACCAGGCGGCCCCAGGAGGAGAAGAGGAGGACGGGAGTCGATGTGCTCCCCCGGTCGGTGATCAGGATTCTAATCCTGTGCAGCGGCCGCGGCGGGAACGTCACGTGAATCAGGCTAGCGAAACGACCTCACCAGATTCAGTTCTCGCGCAAAGTTCACGGGGGCAGCACGTGCTGCCGAACCAGGCGGCCCCAGAAAGAGCAAAGGAGGAGGAGGAGGGACCCGCGCGGCCACGCCCTCCTCTCGCCAGCCCCCTGCGAGGGATAGCGGGAGCTCGCACGCCCCTCCGCCGCCAGCGGACGCGGCCAGGGCACGGCCGAGGCCCTGCCGTGCAGCTGCTGCGTTCTTTTGTTTGTTTGTGTTTTGTTTTTTTTGTTGTTATGTTTTTTTTGTTTTTTTCTGTTATGCAGAACCTGGGTAGTCGAAGCCAATCTGGCGCCAAGCTGGCAGGCCCAATCTGGCAAACGGGGGCAATCTGGCGAGGGAGCCAGCGCGAATCCAGTCTCGCGAGTAACCCAGATCCTCCAACTTGGCCGGGCCAGATCGGCCCTTGGGGCCCAATCCAACCTGCCAGTCCGGCCCTCGACTGCCCAGCAAAAGGCGAGGCGATACGGAGATCAGAACCGAACAAGCTCGAAGAAGACTCGTCCCTGGGAATCCTGGGAATCCTGGGAATCTCGAGATCAGAAGACTCGTCCCTGGGAATCCTGGGAATCCCTGGGAATCCCTGGGAATCCTGGGAATCCCTGGGCAGCTCGAGATCAGAAGACTCGTCCCCGGGAGTCCTGATGCAACAGGGCTGCGGATATCAGGAGCGCCCTCTGAGGAGCGAGGCCCCACCCTGGCGCCAGAAGCACCCGGGCGCACCGGGGGGAGGGCCGGAGGAACAGCCGCGACATGGGCCCAAGGAGCTGCGAGCCCCTTCCAAACGCCAGGCGGCCCTCCTTTCTACTGGCCCCGGCCAATCCCCATCCGGGCCAGGCGGGGCTGGCAGGATCCCATCGCACCATTGAAGGGGCCCCAGGACACACAAATAAATCCGCCGGCCCCCTTGCGGGGCCACCAGGCTGTAGGCGCGTGATTCGCAGTTTCCTGCACCAGTTGTAGCTTGTAGTTTCCAGTGTTACAGTTCTGCTTCTTGCTGGTTACTGTAACTAGTTGACTTCTTGCTGGTTACTGTAACTAGTTGATTGACCGCGCGAGGGGGGGGGAGGCCCAAACAAGATTTTTAGCACCCCCTGGGCGCGTTGTCTGAATTGCTGGGGGGGCTCGAAATCGACACCCCTCACGCAGATCCGCGGGGTCAGGGTCCAAAAACACAAGGGATTTGCCACATTTCTGAAATTCGGTGCCACCCCTCACGCAGATCCGCAGGGTCAGGGTCCAAAAACACAGGGGATTTGCCACATTTCTGAAATTCGGTGCCACCCCTCACGCAGATCCGCGGGGTCAGGGTCCAAAAATACAGGGGATTTGCCACATTTCTGAAATTCGGTGCCACCCCTCACGCGGTCGCGGGGTCAGGGTCCAAAAACACCTATATTTCTGAAATTAGGTGCCACCCCTCACGCAGATCCGCGGGGTCAGGGTCGAGAAACACAAGGGATTTGCCACATTTCTGAAATTCGGTTCCACCCCTCACGCAGATCCGCGGGGTCAGGGTCCAAAAACACAGGGGATTTGCCACATTTCTGAAATTCGGTGCCACCCCTCACGCAGATCCGCGGGGTCAGGGTCCAAAAACATAGGGGAGTTGCCACATTTCTGAAATTCGGTGCCACCCCTCACGCACATCCATCGCAAGGCGTGGTAACCCAAACTGCGAGTACTCCCTCGGGCCTCTAATCCCAAGGTGTGGTAACCAAGCTCGTAAACCATACACGTCTTACCAATCGCCCTGTGTGGTAACCCCTCTTGTGATCAGTTGGTTTTGCCGATTGCGAATCGGCCTCGCATGAAGCTCTGATACTGCTGCACGACAGCGCCAAAGCCTCATGACTTAGCTCTTCCATGGCGCATTCTCCGAGAGAGGGGGCCGGCGGCAGGGGGCGAAGCCCTTACGGATACACACAAATCAAAATATTCCCCACATTTTCCCATATTCTCTGGGCTTCTGTTTCCCCCCCCCCACTTCCCACATTTTCCCCTAGTTTCCTGGGACTCGATGATCCGTTGTGTCTGTGTGCTTTGTTCCTCTTGAGCCATGCAGGGTCCTGCGGCATCCCGCACCCGGGCCTGGGCCGGCGCAGCCCTGGCCCTGCAGGATCCGGCAAGATCCGGCACCCGGACGGCTCCCTCCCGGGGGGCGCCAAGAGTACTCCAGATTTCGTCATAAAAGGGAGGGGGGGTCTGGACCCTCCAAGACAGGCCATTTCAGGCCTCCCCCGTGGGAGAACCCCCCAAAGCATCGTCCCCAGACCCCCCAGGGCCCTGCAGGATGGCCTGGAAGAGACCCCCCCCGCGACATGAGACCCCCCTCCCTTTATTACGAAATCCGCCGACCCCTTGTGGGTCTCTAGGCGTGTGAGATAGTTCCCCCCCCCTAACCCCCCTCCTGGGACCCCAAACCGGAGATTCGACCCACCCCCCCCGGGCCCACGACGAGCGCGTCACGGGGCTCTTTTGGGCCCAAAAGGGGATCAAGACGGGCCAAGAAGGCCCCAAGACTCCTCCAAGACGGCTCACGAGAGCTCCGAGGCGCCAAACGAGCGCTCCCAGACGCCCAAGATGCCCCCAAGACGAGCCTAGAGGCCTCCAAGACGGCCCAAGAGCCTCCAAGAGCAGTCCTCAGAAGGGCCGAAGCGCCGAAAATCGTCAAATTCCTATGGGAAAACGTACATTTTGATCATATACTACTTCTCGGCCTTCACGGCGTTGAAGACGGTCCCAGAGCACCCCAAGACCGCCCCGAGAGGCCCCCAAGAGGCGCCCAAGTCGGCCCAAGAGGGCGCCAAGACGGCCCAAGAGGCCCCCAAGACAGCCCAAGAGGGCCCCAAGACGGCCCCAAGAGGTGCCCAAGAGGGGGAGCCCGAACCGACAATCCGAGCCTTCCGCCCCAAGACGGCCCCAGAAGGCCCCAAGAGGCCCCAAGAGGCCCCCAAGACGCCCACAAGAGGCCCCAAGAGGCCCCCAAGAGGCTCCAAAACGGCCTCACAACGGCCCCCAAGAGGCTTCGAAACTGCCTCCAAGAGTCCCGCGAGAAGCCCCCCAAGAGATCCCAACGATCACCGCACAAGTCTCATATCAACAACCCCGGCACGGTGGCGGGGTTGCGTTTGCGCACAATTATCCCGGCAAAGCAACCTAACAGCGATGTGTAGAAGCATATCTGAAAGGATTCCCCTTAAGATTCAGATGAAAATCCAGTTGTCGAATTCTGCTGTTCTCGCAGTCGTAGTCGCATTCGCGATGACAGTCGCAGCGGCAACGGCAGTCGCAGTCACAGCCTCAGCCTCAGCCTGCCTCCTCCTCCTCCTCCTCCTCTTTCTCCTGCTCCTCCTCCTCCTCCTCCTCCTCCTCCTCTTCCTCCTTGTCGTCCTCGTTCTCGTCCTCCTCGTCTTGCTCGTCCTCCTCCTCCTGGTGCTCTCTCCTCCTCCTCCTCCTCCTCCTCCTCCTCCTCCTGGTGGTCCTCGTTCTCCTCCTCCTGGTGCTCTCCCCCCCCCTCCTCCTCCTCGTCCTCCTCCTCCTCCACCTCCTCGTCCTCTTCCTCCTCTTCCTCCTCCTCCTCCTCCTCCTCCTCCTGGTAGTCCTCCCCCTCCCCTCCTCCTCCTCCTCCTCCTCTTCCTGGTCGTCCT